ATTTTTTTACTAAATGTTCAAAATTTGCAATTGTACAGATCTTTTTACAGAATGATCAAAAGTATATGCGTGGTACATTACAATTGTTCAGATATTTTCACTAAATGTTCAAAAATTTTGATGTTCATATTTTTTTTTTAATTTTAAAAAAATATTCAAAATTTATAATTGTTCAGATTTTGTTTACTAAATGTTCAAAAGTACCAGGTAATCGATCATAATATAACAGATACGAATTGATCGATCGAATTAACTTCAACAAATTCAATTGATATTAGAACAATGATTTCATCTACAATTTCATCTCAAAATCAAAAAAATACGTACAACTTAACGAGAACAGTAAAAACAATCAGTTAACCGATTACGAATTGAAATCAATCAAATTAGCTTTCACAAATCCAATTGATATTAAAACAATTATTTCATCCACAAGTTCATCTCAAAATCAAAAAATAAATTAACATTAATCACAATGAGTTCATAATAACAAACCTGGATTGATATCTTTCGGAATTTAAAATTGTTCCATCACGTTAAATGCAGAAATTTAATGGAAAAAAAATCAAAGAACAGAGGAGAGAGAAAATAAGAATTTGAAAAAAAAAAAGAATGAAGTAATTCAATAAAGAAATAAAAAGATATTAGATTAAGAGAGAGAGAGAGAGAGAGAGTTTCTGTAAAAAAAAGGAAACACAATTTTGTAAAGATGGTGGGAAGAAGAAGAAGAGAATGAAGTTGTGTTTCATTTATACAAGGTTGTGTTTTAATAGGGGTCTAGCTATTTTAGATGGACTAGGGTCCATAGAAGAATTTGTACAAAAGGTCCATGTCTTGAGCTCTTGCCCACTAGTCATAAATGGAGCTTATGTGTGGCCCAACTCATGTGCCATGCCAATGGACATTAACTTTTATTTTTTGATCAATTGGTATATAAACAAGTCTGTCGTACTGGTTGTTAGATTATGGAAATAATCTTTTGTAATTATCTTTGCATATATTTAGTGTACGTGTATATCTTTCCTAGTTTAGCGTAGCTAACCTAGACGCCTAATCTTGCATATATACTAAATATATGCAAAGATAATTACAAAAGATTATTTCCATAATTACAAAAGAGAATATGTGAATATTTGTCGTAGGCTTCTCATTCATCAAAGATTAGTATATATACAAGAATAGGCGTCTAGGTTAAGCTACACTAAACTAGGAAAGATATACACTAAATATATGCAAAGATAATTACAAAAGATTATTTCCATAATCTAACACACCCCCGCAGTCGAAACTACGAACGCTGAGACTGTCCCGAAAATCATCAAATAAAACCTTAGGCAGACCTTTAGTGAAAATGTCTGCAATCTGGTAACGGGATGGAACATGTAATACACGAACTTCGCCGCGTTGAACCTTCTCACGAACAAAGTGAATGTCCATTTCAATGTGTTTAGTGCGCTGATGTTGTACCGGATTACTAGAGAGATAAATCGCACTAACATTGTCACAATAAACCAACGTTGCTTTCGGAATAGGAAGAAATAGCTCTAGCAACAAATTCCGAATCCAGCAGGATTCAGAAACTACATTAGCAACCCCTCTGTACTCTACTTCACAACTGGATTTAGACAAAGTGGGTTGGCGTTTCGAAGACCAAGAAATCAGATTATCACCAAGGTACACACAATACCCTGATGTAGAACGACTAGTGTCCGGACACCCGCCCCAATCTGCATCCGTGTAAGACACAAGAGACGACACAGGAGATTTATGTAGGTGTAAACTAAAATTTGTCGTACCATTAATATATCGCAGAATGCGTTTCAACGCATCCATGTGCTCAACACGGGGTGAGTGCATAAATAAGCATACTTGCTGAACTGCATAAGAGATATCTGGTCGAGTGAAAGTCAAGTACTGCAACGCCCCACAGAGGCGCCTGTAAGAAGTAGGATCATTATACAAAGCACCCTCCTTAGTACTCAATTTGCCTTTGGTGTCAACAGGAGTAGACGAAGGCTTGCAATTCGCCATTCCCTTTTTCCAAAATTTCCTGCGCATATTTCTTTTGAGATAAAAATAAACCATTTTTACCTCTAGTAACAGCAATACCCAAAAAATAACTTAGAGGACCCAAATCTTTCATTGCAAATTCAGAACTGAGCCTAGAAATAATATGTCGTCGGAGAGATTCCGATGAAGCAGTAAGCACAATATCATCAACATACAGAAGGAGATAAGCAGTATCATTACCATGGCGATAGATGAACAATGAGGTATCAGATTTTCTATTAGAAAAACCAATAGTAGCCACAAAATCTGCAAAACGTTTGTACCACGCTCGGGGTGCCTGTTTCAGACCATAAAGTGACTTATCCAATAAACAGACATGATCAGGTTTATCAGGATCCTTGAACCCCATAGGCTGATACATGTAAACTGTTTCATTCAAATGACCATGTAAGAAAGCATTTTTCACATCCAGTTGATGAATTTGCCAAGACTTAGATAGAGCAATGCTAAGTACCACCCGAATAGTTGTCGGTTTAACAACCGGGCTAAAAGTCTCATCACAATCAATTTCTTCCCGTTGAGTTTTACCATCACCAACAAGACGAGCCTTATCTCGTTCAAAAGACCCATCAAACTTGGGCTTATGCCGAAAAATCCACAATGACCGAATAATGTTCACATTCGGTGGCCGCGGAACCAATCTCCAAGTTCCGTTATCAATAAGAGCATCATATTCTTCCTGCATAGCAATTTTCCAATTATGGTCACGAAGGGCATGAACCGGTTTCTTTGGAATGGGTGATATGGAGGTAGAGGTGTGATGGGATTGTTCTCGGTATTTGGGATTTGGCTTGACAATGCCATGTTTACTCCGAGTAACCATGGGATGGGATTGAGAAGGTGAGGAGGGAGGAGAGGAGTGAGAGAGCTGCTCGTGGTGTGGAGCAGGGGCTGCGGGCGCAGGGGAAATCCCGCGACCTGGCAGTGACTGCTGGGCAGCAGCTGGAGCAGGGGCTGCGGGCGCAGGGGAAATCCCGCGACCTGGCAGTGACTGCTGAGCAGCAGCTGTGGGCGCAGGAGTGGGAAGCTGCGGGCGTGCGCTGCTTGGCAGTGGGCTTCGCAGGCACCCCGCGGCTGGGGAGATAATTCCGCGGCTAGGCTGCGGACTATGCTGGGAAGAGAGAGCTGACACCAGCAGCTCGGTCGGCCTCGACGGTGGCGCCCGCTAGTGACCCGGCGGGGATAGTAGAGTGCGGCGAAGCCACACGCTGCTGGGCGCTCGTAGGGGTGGACCGATTTGCGTGGTGCGTGCTAATAGAGGAAGGGTCGAAGCTTGCTTTGTGAAAATGGTGAAGCAACGGATGAGGGCTTAAATCATCTCCTAAAAAATCATAGGTATGGGGTTTAGGAGTATGAATGGTAGAAAATGGAAAAACCGATTCATCAAACCAAACATGTCTTGCAATAATTATTTTCCGACTCGAAATATCATAACACTTATAACCTCTATGATTACTTGGATAACCAAGAAAGACACAAGGAGTAGAGCGCGGTTGAAGTTTGTTAATTTGAGTAGAAGAGAAGAGAGGGTTACAAAGACAACCGAACACCCTAAGATGAGAATAGTCGGGGTTATTGTGATACAATATTTGAGTAGGAGACTTATAATCAAGAATTTTTGTCGGCAAGATGTTGTGTAAATAGGTAGCCATTTCTAAAGCGTGATGCCAAAAAGAGGGAGGCATAGAAGCATGACAAAGGAGAGTGCGAACGATATTATTAATTGTCTTAATTTTACGTTCGGATTTGCCATTTTGAGGAGAAGAGTATGGAAAAGACATTCGGAAAACCATCCCATGTTGGTGACCAAATTTAATAAAAGGATCATTTTTAAACTCGGTGCCATTATCACATTGGAAAGCCTTTACTTCCCGTTCAAATTGAGTACGGATATAGGTTCTAATTCGAAGAAACAAGTTAAAAACTTGAGACTTAGATGCAATTGGAAAGGTCCACAAGAAATTTGTGTAATCATCAAGAAATAGAACATAATATTTGTGCCCAAGAGAACTAGAAACTGGAGAAGTCCATAAATCACTATGAATAATATCAAAGGGCATAGTAGTATGAGATTGAGAGTCATAAAAAGGCAATTTTATTAATTTTCCCAAAGGATAAGAGTGACAAACATCAATATTAGCCTTATTACATTTGATCAATTTACTACTACGCAAAGAACCTAAAATTGCTTTTCCCGGATGACCTAAACGGGAATGCCACACACTCGGAGAGAGAACTGCAAAAGCCGATGGAGAGGAATAAGAAAGAGCTTGACGATCCGAGAAGAAAGGGTAAAGATCGCCACTGCTATTACATCTCATTATTTTGCTCCACGTCTGCAAATCCTTCACAGAAAACCCAAAGGGATCAAACTCAATGGAAACACTATTGTCAGTAGTGAATTTTCGAACAGAAATAAGATTTTTGATAAGCTTTGGGACATGAAGGACATTTTTGAGTTGGAGTGTGTTTTTATTAAGAGATTCGTGACCATAACCTTTAATTGGAATTTTGCTACCATCACCAACAATAATAGAATTATGAATGCTATTATTTAATTGAACATACGAAGACAATTTACCTTGGGAATTTGTCATGTGAGACGTAGCACCCGTGTCCATGTAGTAGTTTGGATCGGGAATAGACAATGTATGCATTGCTTGCTCAATATTGGTTGGTGCATAACCCATAGAAGAAGGTGGATTGGTCACATAGTAGGCTTGTTGAGGAAGAGGCCCAAGAACTCCGGGTTGAGGCTGCCTTGCGGACCATTGCTGTTGGGCTGGTCCCTGAGATGGTTAGGGACATGGAGGCATGGCCCAAGACCCTTGGTTCCAATAGGCCCATGGAGGGGGAAGTAGCCAGGGAGTCTGCTGTGGAGTGCCCTGCTGCTGCTGCTGGGGTTGGCCCGACCAGCGTTGCTGCTTGTTCTACGGCGGCTGCTGGTGGTTTCTCCGGCTGGCGGCGGCTGGCGCGCCACCCCCTTTCCCTTTACCACCCTTGCCCTTGTTTTTCCGGCCACCTTGACGAGGCTGCCCCCGAGAAGAATTTTGTGAGGATTCTCCTTGACCCTGCTGACCCGTGGAATTGGCATGAGAAAGAAGCGCCTCTTCGTGGGTGTCGTGGGTGATGTCGGTGGCATTACCTTGCTCTTCAAGCTCGAGCATGGAACGGAGAGTATCAAAGGAAGGCAGAGGGTTCATATGGCGGACTGATGTTCGAAAGGGCTTATACTCCTCTGTTAAACCCTTTAAAAGCTGAAGTGCCATACGATTATCGGAGACTTGATCCCCAACATTTTTCAAGCTATCCGCGAAAGACTTAAGATGAGTGCAATATGCCTTGACGCCATCAAATTGCTCCAGCCGAGTATTTGTAAATTGAGCATCAAGTTGCAAAGCTCTAGTAGACTTGTTATTGAGAAAGAATTCCTCCAACCGTTTCCACGCATCCAACTCTGAGTCATCATTGTCAATAATCGAATTCATAAGGTCCGGGGAGATGGTATTATAAATCCATTGTCGAACGATGTCGTCAAGGCGTTGAGTAAGAGCTTGTTCAGCAGGGGTGGGTTCGGTTTTCTTGGCCGAAGGATCCACCGGAGGTGGAATTATGTGCTCGATCACCAAATTCGCACGGCAATGAAGTTGGAAAAGAGTCGACCAAGTGTTAAATTGCTTGCCCTCATAATCTAGAGTGATGGGGATACAAGACTTGATGTTGTTCACAAGAGTTGCAGGATGAATCTTGCTTGATTCGGCCATGGAGGAAGAAAGAATAGAGCGGAAGAAAGAAGAGAGAAATAGGGTTTTCAGGAAAGAAACCTAGACTCGTGATACCATGAGAAAATATGTGAATATTTGTCGTAGGCTTCTCATTCATCAAAGATTAGTATATATACAAGATTAGGCGTCTAGGTTAAGCTACGCTAAACTAGGAAAGATATACACTAAATATATGCAAAGATAATTACAAAAGATTATTTCCATAATCTAACACTGGTGCCAAATTTTAAATATGATGTCCTTGCAAGTTATAACTTATAAGGCATGTCCATTGGCATGCTAAGTGCTTACAGACTTGTCTACTTGTGCTTGGTTGGGTAATCTCTTATAAGTTGTGGAATATTAAGTAAAATTTTTGGGCTATATAATGAAAGAAAAAAAAAACGTAGTATAATAATAATTCATGAGCAAGTTTTTACTTATGTGATTGATAGCTAATCATAGTTAAAACATTACACTCTAGAAATAAAAAGATTTTAAATGAGAAAATAAAAGAGAACATAGAAAGGAGAGTATACAAAATTGATTGAATGAAAATTTCTAAAATTTCATGCCTTAGACAACTGGGCTGAGATATGGGCTTGACAACTTGGCCTAGTGATTGCCAAGCTTACTTCATCTCTAATCCTAAACTATATAAAGAGAAAATTTTGGTGAGATTGGACAAACTTTTCTACAAAATTCAACAAGTTATCTTGGTGAACTTCTTGTTGGCTTTTGAATGAATGTTGAATTGAATTGATTAGTTATCAATTAATTTATTTACTTGTGTTTTATTCAAAACAATATATACTACCTTCGGTCCAAATTACTCGCAACTTTGGGGTATTATTTGTGAGATATAAAATATTCCAAAGCTACGAGTAATTTGGACCGGAGGTAGTATATATTATTCACTTGTGTGTGCACGCGACTGAGCATATGTAGTATGTTCGTGTTTGTGGCATATCGACTATAGTAAGATCCTTTAGGGGTTTAGGTCATGCTCAAATGTGCTAGGGTAAATGCTACAGTAAGTAATAACCTTTCGATTAGCAACACATCACCTGAAAACTTCTGCAAGTACAAAAGCTACTACAGTCTGAAGGCTTGGACTCAAGACCTCAGTAATTTTGCTAAGTGCTATATCACATAATGTCCTGAAAAGGCTCGATAAAAATTCGATTCTTGGGGCAACTTGTTACAGTAATGTACTTATCCCCTCTGTTTGGTAGTAACATAATGAAAGTTACTGAGTAATTCTTTTTTCGAAATGTGATCGATCCATTACCAGAAGTACACAAATTGCGAAAATGATCAAGACAAAACAAGATGATAGATGGAATGCGAATGAACATTTGAACACGGAATGCTATTCTAATGACAGTATTTTTTAAGGGTTGCATGACAAAATGCACAGATTAATCAATTAATTTAATATACAAAATCCCAAGGCAGGATTACAAGGACAGTCCATCATTTAGCAATGATCAGACTGAGACTCATAGAAATCGCTAGGGCAAGGAGACATGACCTCTTGTTCTAGAACCTGCAAAACCTCGTTCATTGATGGCCTACGCTCTGGATCTGCATCAGTACATCGGGAAACTATATCGAGTATTGCCTCTGCTGTTTCCTGATCCACATCACGGCACCTTTTATCCACTATATCCTCTAATCTGTTGTCTTTCAATAGCGTGTTCATCTGCAACAACATTTGAGACATGGTTTCACTTATAACCTTTAAGGCTTTAACCAAGTTGGGAGTAAAATAGAATTCATTCTACTAAAGGGAAAGATAAGAGAAATAAGGACTTAGGAACTCACCCAACCAACAACATTCAAGCCTTTTTGAACAAAGCACGGATCAGTCGGTCTTTTTCCAGTCACAAGCTCCAACAGAAGAACACCAAAGCTGTAAACATCTGACTTTTCTGTGGCTCTTCCACTTTGTAGATACTCTGCTCATGAAGTGCATATATTTGGATTAAATTGTTTGAACACCGGACTACTTCCCTAAGGTTTTGTTCTTTTCACGTTAAAATTTTGTGAAAGATAAGAGAAGTTTAGAAGACATACCAGGTGCCAAGTAACCAAAAGTACCAGCGACAACTGTTGTGACATGAGCCTCTTCGTCTTTCAAAAGCTTGGCAAGGCCAAAATCTGACACATGCGGCTCCATATTTTCATCAAGAAGTATATTGCTTGATTTTATGTCACGATGAACTACTCTTGGGCAGCAGTCATGATGCAGGTAAGCTAATCCACGAGCAGAACCAAGAGCTATCTTCAAACGAGTACTCCAGCTTAATACTTCATCACTATAGCCTTGTTCTGTCAATTGCAATTAAGCATTTAACATCAGAAGATAGATACTCCATATTTTAAAATAAAAAATAGTATGGCCTGCTGATATTAATCAACATATTATCATCCACAGTCATGTTCCCCTAATAATATACATCATAAATGCAATTTCTTTCATACAAGGGACTTCATGAAGAGCTTACTAATCAAATGCTCTACTAAATTTCGTTTGCCAGCAATGCCAGGCTTCTTATGAATGTCGTTTATCTTCAAGCATGTATGCAATATATGTTCATGTATTTCAGGTAAGATTCCATGTCCAATACATACAGCTATTCAGTTACTTGGATATATAATCTAGTAAACAATGCATAATTTTTTGGGAAGAAAATTACCATGCAACAAATCATCTAGGCTGCCCATTGCCAAATAATCATATATGAGAAGTTTTGAAGTAGGCAGTCTACAGTAGCCTCTCAAGTTTACTAAATTGATGTGCTTGATGCTGCCCAAAACCTCCAATTCCCGCTCAAACACTTGATCAGATCCTTCACGAGTGCGATCTATCCTTTTAACAGCAAATGTGCCACAATCATTCATGACCATTCTGTATACAGTACCATAGCCTCCCGAACCCACAACATCTTCTTCATCAAGAGCCTCCAGCTTTTCGATGATCTCATACGAGGGATATGGAAGATCACCATGAAACGTTATAAGCTTGGTTCCTGTCCCAGAAGAGAAATGGCTTTAAGATAAATAAAATATTTGATAGAACTCAACCAAAAGTTCCTACAAAGATCTGATGAATGTATATTCTATTCTACCTGCTTCAGGTTCGACTTGTTTCTTGACTTCTGTGTATTTCTTGGCAGCTCTTTCTTTCTTTGATACTGACCAAACCCAAAGGAGAGCAACAACGACTAAAAGAGCCACTCCTAGCATGGACATTGCCCCAATCAACAACCCCTTGATATAATGAGATGACCGCTTAGTTGGAACTGTAAGATAATAGAAGATGTACTGAGCTCAAAAAAGTTTAGATGAATACTCTATGGTTAGATAACAGAAGCAGATACATGTTATTGACAGCAATGATTGCTGCTTACCTGCAGCTTGATCACTCTCAGCATGAGGCAAGACTGCAGGGAATCCAAGTGAGGTCCGGCATGGTTTATGCACTTGTCGCCCACAAAGGTCCAAGTTGCCAATAAATCTGTTACCGAGAAAAGTGATTTAGAGCAGGCAAAGGTACTGAATCCTATAGCACCAGTTAATCTAGCGAAAGCCTACATGACTTATGATGCTAAATCAAGGTCTGTCGAGACAATGGTGGCATGAGTAATACCTCCACCAATCTTTTTTAGTTGACACGATTCTTTTATTACGTTTGCCAAGTTTAATATCTCTATTCAATAATTATCTATAAGTAAAAATTATCAAAAGTTGATATTATGAAAAAAAATACATTAAGACAACGCTACAGTTTAATCAAGCGCCATGATAGACTATAATAAAAAAATTCTACTAACAAGAGCATGTTCAACATGAGTCAACTATTAATTTACGACATAAATAGTCAATTGGGAGTTTACAACTTCACATAGAGCCTCATATCAGAGGGAAACTTATTCAAGTTCTAAAAGGCTAAGGGAGTTCGTATAAGCAGGTCAGCAAGCATGTGTCAATCAAGGCATGTCATTATAGCTTTTGCATTTATGTTCAAATGCACGATGTACTTGGAAAAAAATCTTGTTAGCTTCTTTCATTTAAGATTCAAACTTAGCTTTGCAATTCTGTGAGTTAGGCTTTGACATCTACAATCTTTTGTGATTCAATCAAGATGTTTGGTTTGATTCTCTTATTTATGTTCTTTTCTTTTCAACATGTGGGAGGGAAATTATTATTTAAAAACAAGCTAAGCTCAAATATGATTGTAATTCTGTGATTTGTCCCTAATCCTAAGAATTTACTTGACCTCCGTTGAGGTAAACACACCCCTTGCGGAATAATCAACTGACCAAACAAACCACAAGCACGTTCTACATACTAGTTTGCTCGAAGTCACACTAACCCAAGCAATATAATATGTTATGGAATATCTACACAACTCCAGCTATATCAACACATAAACGCAACAACACAAAGCATATGAACTAACACAATAAACAAAGCAAGGAACACACGACATCTACATGGAAAACCCCTTCAATGAGGAGTAAAAACCGTAGGACAGTTAGGGAGTCCGCCCAAATTGCTCTTATTGTAGTAATGGAATGATACCCAATCATTATTTCAAGTCTTAAAAATGGGTACTCAATTTACCCAACTACAACAAACATAAGAGCTAAACAATGGAGGACGAAATTGAGAAATATCACCGGAAAAAAAGGGTTTGTCCAGCAACCGTAAATCACAAACTGTAGGAGCAAATGACAATCAAGCTGTTGAAAATTAAGCTCTCATGTCCTAAAAAAGATGTCAAAATTTGAGCTAAATCGAACCACGGATGAGCTTCGATCGGGACTGCATACTTGAAAAATGTGAAGTGGTTGCTATTGTAAACTCTATGTGCTTCTCTCCTTTCTCTCAACTAATTACCCTAATATATTTACTCACCTTACTGGCAGCAAGTAAATGATAAATAATACCACCGAGACTTTGTTACCCACTCTCTTCCACGATAAGGCACA